TGGGCCGGGGGCGCCACGCACCATTTCTGATCCTCACATCCCCTCTGTGAGGTGGGAATTATTGAGTCCTTTTTCCCGTTCAGGAAACCAAGGGTTAAATGCCTTGTCCATGGACCTTTCCCCCACCCTCCTCGCCCAGCTCCCCACCACGTCTTGCTGGTTGTCTCTGTGAAATGCAGCCCCTTGGTCTCCCACAACATCGCCCGCAGCCCAACTTCTCACCCCACGAGACTCATATTCCTCACAGACCAGCATGATCATTGGGAAATGCATGCTCCTCCCTGGAACCTGACAGCGGCTTCTTATTGCTCTTAGAATGGAATTCTGACTTCTCCCTGTGCACAGCCAGCACCTCCCCTAGGTCCTAGCTGTGGCTCACCCACTAGGCGCAGGCTGGTCCTGCCTCAGGGCCTTTGCATGTGCTATTCCGTGCCCCTGGTTTGGACCCCGGACTCTGAATACACTCCTGGTCTCTTCCTAGCGAGGTCTGAGGTGCTGTTCTACCTTTTGGTTAATTCTGCAGCCCACTCTAGTACATCTGTTCTCTTGGGCAGGAAGCAGGCATTCCAGCTCTCACACTCTGGGGCTGGTACCTCCATCACCAAGGCTCAGGCCACACCAATACCCTGTAGTCTGCTCCCTTGTCCCAGGGTGAGCCACGCCCCCAAGATGCAGGGCAGCTGCCTCCTTCTTGCACAGGCTCTGGTGGATGTGATTTTTCCACCTGGGGCCCCTTGGCCAGAGCTCAAGGCTCTGCGATTAGGGCGAAATGGCTCCTCATTTGTGGGGCTGTAGCACATGAACTGACACATCATGTCCTAGAGGCCCAGCCAGAGGGGAAGAGGACAACCTTTGCCTGCTGTAGACGGCCTTTCTTAAACCCAGTGCATTCTGCACTAGGATTTTCCTATTCAATGATTGCATCATCTCAGAAGAAAACTCTCTTATAACTAGTGTAGCTTGGGCTGGCTTGAACATCTAGCTCCTCCCCACACACCATTTGATCTATTGCTTCAAAATAATTTGTTTCCAGTTATCAGGCTACTGAGATCCACCAATCACCTGGAAGCAGCCCCATATTTGTTGCTCAGAAAAACTGGCCCTTCCAAAGAGCTACTCAAAGGTGGCCTGGGACAGTAGCCACTTGGAGGGGACACTTTAAGACAACAGTTGATCCTTTGCACAGGATATTTGAGGCCCCCAGAGGGCAAATAAGGTTCCCTTCCTCATACCCTCCGCTGATTTCACCGGCCTCCCCCTCTGAGGTCTACACAGCTTGAAGTATGTGCCTTCTAGCTCAAAACTGAAAATTTCACATGAAAAAATGAAAGAGACAGAGAGAAGACAAATGTGAAATAACATTGACTAGATCATCGAGGCAGCCTGTCAACCATATTTTGCCTCTCTGATTTTTTTTTTTAGCCCTAGTGTCACACCTTCCTTGTCATCAATTTTTAACACGTGAGCATTTTGTAATTAAAATTCAGTGTCATCGAACAGGTCATAGAGTGTGAGCAATATTCTCTTTGTTCTAGAAATCCACATGTAACGAAGCTGCCATTCACAATTGTTTTCCACTGGGCTGCTTATTAAAAAAAAAAAAATGATCTTCAAGGAACAGAAATAGGTGCATTTTCCCAGCATGGGGTCCATCAGGAATGAAAAACTTACCAATCATAGCCCAGGCCCTGAGGGGTGTGTGTGTGTGGCAGGGATGTTGTCAGATGTCAGTTTGGGCCGATTGTTTCTGAGGTCACGTGACTACGATTCTTGGGTTTCCTGTGGTGCATTTTATAGACTGATGTCCCGTTTTAGAGATAAATTATTAGATGAATGTTTATGGATGAATGCACATTCAATGTGCTGGCGTTGAGGTGGGGACCCCTGTGAAGCTGCAGGAAAAGGCTTTAGAAGACAGACAGGGACGAGGGCGCTGAGCTGGGGCGCCCGTTGCCTGTGACGGAGACCTCCTGCACCGGAGACAAGAATCCTGATGGTCAGACCCCAAGTCTCACCTGGAGAATGAGTGAAACCAAAGCAGCCTCTGCCAGAGGCCCCAGAGGCCCACCACGGGGGTCGCAAACCACAGTAGGGCCTGATTTTTTGGTTTGTTTTCAATAGCGGAGCCAACAGGTAAAAATCTAGTGGCTTCCGGCTCTCTTTACAAAAACAGAGGATTTGGGCTCACAGTGTCTGACCCCTCAGTATCAATCTGCTAAAGCTTCTTATTAGCTGCCCACGGTCCCTCACTCCTCATCTACTGAGCCCCGTGGGTCTCTGAGTTGTGGCCTCGCCTCATGGGACATTTAGATAGGAAGAACTATCTTTCTTCCTTTGGGGCACCTCACTCCCTCCTACCGGGGTAGTTGTGGGCAAATCATCCTAGAGCCTCAGTTTTCCCATCTCTATAACGGGTTGACAATGGGCCCTCATAGGGTGGTCCGTAAAACTCCCTCCCCTCTGCCTGCACATCCTCAGGGGCCACCGGTGTGTTTTTCTGGAGGGAAGTCAGCTGGGTACTCTGTGTGTCAGCAGCCTGCATGCCGTCGTCCTCCTGAATGCTTTGTTGGAGGAGTGAAGACAGAATTATTCAGAAACAAGTGATTTCCCAGCTGCGGTCTCCTCTCTGATGACAAAGGACTCCCTCGGCCCACGTGGGAGGTGAGGCAAGAATTACGTGCTGTAGAAAGAAAGGCTGCTGGGACCATCTTGAGTTTGTTTGTAACTAATCTGCAGTAATTTAGATCTTTTTAATTCACAGTAAATCCGATTCCCTCGACAACATCTACAGTGAAGTATCAGGAGTGTGTGTGGAGACCAAGCGTGGGGAGGCTTTTTGTGTTCCCACCACCAAATCCATAGTTACCCTCCAAGTTGAAATCTTATCATATTTAACTGGTTCCACATAAACAGATCTGTGTATATTTTCAGTAGTTTCAGCTGAAACCTGTTAAGAACAGATGTGCAGATGGTCGCCCAGCACTGATCCATTTAAATGTATTTTTCCACGAGCAGCGTTTTCCCTCTGCCCTTCCTTGAGGGGGGAAGAATAAGAAAGTGGGACCGTTATTAAGATGGATATTACACGCTTCTGAGTCTCTGCAACCAGCGTTTGCTGTCGGTTTTCCAACAGCAATGTGGCTCACGAGGCTGTGAGCACAGGGTGTGCCTATAATGGACGATGTTTGAGCCCATGTGGCTGGGAGGATGGGCCCTTAGCTCTCTCTGGCTGCCACCCATGTAAGGGTGCTTTCCCGGCTGCTGGGGAATCAGGCAGCCCCTGTCCTAAGGCTGGAGTAAGTATAAGTTATTCACCTCTTTGACCCTTTAGTTTTTTTAAGCAGAAAAAAAAAAGGGGGAGGGGGGTGGTATAAAAGAACTCCTACAACTCAGCAACAACCTAAATCAAATCATCTGATTTCTAACGGGGCAAAGGACTTGAAAAGCTATTTCTCCAAAGGAGACAAATGGCCAAGAAGCCATGAAAAGGTGGTCAGCATCACTGAGAATTAGGGAAATGCAAATCAAAACTATAAGGAGATATCGCCTCACACCCATGAAGAGGGTTAGTATTAAAATTTAAAAAAACAACAACAGAAAATCACAAGTATTGGCAAGGATGTGGAGAAATTGGAACCCTCACTGCTGGTGGGAAATGGAGGTATGGAGATTCCTCAAAAAATTAAAAATAGAACGACCATATATGATCCAGCAATTCCTCTTCCGGGTATATAGCCAAAAGCTTTGAAAGCAAGATTGCAAAGAGACTTTTTCGCACTCACGTGTATAGCAGCAGTAGTTGCAGTAGCCAAAAGGCGGAAGCAACCCCTGTGTCCATCAACAGATGAATGGATAATCAAACGTGCTCCGTCCATACAATGGAATATTATTCAGCCTTTAAAAAGGGACTTTGGACACACACTACAGCAGAGGTGAACCTCAAGGACATTACGCCCATTGAACTAAGCCAGTCGCCAAAAGACAAATCCTGTATGATTCCACTTACATGAGGTATATAGGGTAGGCGAATTCACAGAAACAGAAAGTAGAAGGGTGGCTGCCAGGGGCCGGGGGAGGGGGCAGTGTGGAGTTACTCTTTAATAGGTATAGAGTTTCAGTTTTGCAAGATGAAAAAGTTCTAGAGATCTGTTGCATAACAATATTTATGTACTTACTACTGAACTGTACACTTAAAATGATTAAGATGGTAAAAATGAAAAGGGGGGAGAGAGGGTCAAATCGTGATACCGACATGGATGGGTGAGAGGATTCCATGAGATAATGCGCACTTGGCAGGACTTTATCCTGTGGGCTGCGGAGATTATAACTAAGATGCAATGAGTTAAGGCGAGTTGTTTCCCCAGGTTTGAATGTTTGTTCTCCAGAAGGCTCCTCTCCCACCCTCCCATTGCCCACCTGACAGAGCTCATCCGGCCTCCCAGGTCCCCATCACAGGCTGTAGCCTTCTCGAGGACTGTCCCCATGGGCTCAGCCCGTGCCTCTGGGGCACAGAGTTCTGCCCTCCCGGCCTGCTCTCCCCAGCTGGCACTGGCTGTGAGAGGCTGCCCGGCTGCTTTCAGTGGCGTCTGAATAAACCACAGGACCCCCAGTTCCTTCTGTCTGCAGGCTTTCATCCCACTGAATTTGCCCTGCATTGGGAGGGAGAGGGAGAGCTTGGGTGGGGGATCATGATAGCAGATGAGCCTCAGGGGTTCAATGCCAGCTGCTTCCAGCCCCAGTTCTGCCCCAGTGGAACCCCTTAGCCCCAGTGTGTCATGGGTGAAAGAGGGGTGAGGGCCGAGTTGGGCTTCATAATCTCTAAAGATTTCAGATCTTTGCAGGCGGGGGTGGGGGGGGCTCTGTCCTCCGAGTTCTGTCCAGCCTGGTCCCCTCCACAGGGCACAGCATCTGACAAATTTAACATGGCTGAGTTTGCTTGGTACCTCACAGGACATTGTGAGCTGAGCGTTCACACAAGCACCTCTGTGTTTTTATGTGAGCTGGGACCTGGTGGTGGTATGTCCTGGGCCCTGAGAGCAGCACGAGGCTTGGAGGCCCTGGCAGAGAGATCTTCAGCAAGACAGGCATCTCTGCTACCTGACAGGAGGAGACCCCCAGCAGGGCTTGGACTCATCTGAATAGAAAGATGAGCAGCTGGCTTGGGAGGTGAGATCAGATTCCTGGGGCAAAGTGGTACCACATTTGTCTTAATGAGGAGGAAAGAACCAAATCAAAGCGTTCGTTAACACTTCAAAGGAGTTAAAAGAGCCCATTTGGCTCCCAAGTGCTACCTCTCCTGGCTGGTTAAGTGTCTGGTGAAGAATCCCATTATCTACTCAGGGGGAAGATGCCAAGGGCTGCTCTTGCTGGCTGAGAATTGTGGGGGGCCCTGCTCTCGGCGGGGGCGCTGCTTCCGGATCCCAGCCTCTGATCTGTTTAGGAGATGCTTCTAGGGATTCCTGCTTGTCTGCGGACATCATGATCCTCTCCAGGCTTTTCATATCCCTTCTGTATTTCTTTCCCCTGATGATTTCCTTACCGGCTCTTTTTGCTGTCCTTTCCAGAAGTTAATACTCAAAAGCCTTGATTTCTAGGACCCGTTCTGGACTTCACAGGAGCGAAAATCAATAGACTCAAAACTTGGCTTCATTATTCATTTGACTCAAACTGGTTTGGGGCAACACCTCTGAACCCCAGCCAGAAACATCCCCAAACGGGGCTCTTGCCCGGAATCTCACCGCTCACACAGGAGACTTGAGCGCACTTAGCAAGTGAGAAAGACGCCATTCCCCTCCCCTCGCCCCACCCCGGGGGAGTTTCAGTCCAGAGCTGCCCCTCCTGAATAGAGACCCCCCCGAAGTAAGCCTGATCAGACTCTCCCACTCTGCCTCCATCTTCTCCAGACTGCTTCTAGATTCCCCTCCTTTACTCACGTTGCTACCCCCCAACCACCGATATTTTCAGAATCTACACACATATTCACCCATCACTCTGGTTTCCAAATATGATCTTTATCAATACAGTGGTGTTTCCCTAAAATGACTGACAGCTGCATGACCTTTCTTTTCAGCCACAGATGAAAGGGGACTTAAAAGATACGTGCGTGTGTGCGTGTGTGCGCGTGCTCGAGTGCATGCCTGACTAACGCACATACGCCTAATGGAAACCAGGATAAATTACAGAGAACGGCAATGTAATGATTACAAAAAGGTATACGAGGCATAACCCATTAGTGAGCTACATTTTGTTCAAAGCTGAGATACTCGGGCAGAATAACATGCTTTGTGCCGGAATGCAGTCAGCTGTAGCAATGACTAATAATATAGTTGAGGATCTGTTCGCATTTTTCCCCTTTTGTGCCTATTTTCATAAGTTAATAACTCAAGCATGAAATTGTTTCAGGCTGAAAACTGGTGGTGAGAGCACAGCAAACTTTGTGGGAAACAACTCTGTGTTGTTGTTGTTACTTAATTTAGTTCGGCTGTTTTTAAGTTAGGGGAGTGGAAATGTCCATGCGAGTTTTCTTGAGCCATGTGTGTTTGTGAAGCCCAAGAAAGTTTGGGATTGTGTTATACAAAGCACATTTTGACTGACTACAGATAGAAGTTTTCTTTTCATACACGTGTGCTTCTGCTTAGTACAGGTCGGGGTCGTTGGCGGCAGGGGCTGGGTAGGTTTGGAAGAAATTGAATCAGAACGTTATAAATGACATCATTCTGGACTCACCTGCCTTCAACTAGAAAACTTCTATCCCAAGTCGAAGAGACTGGTGAGCAAACAGCTGCCTTAAACAGCTGGGGGTGGGAGTAGGGGTGAAACCTCCTGCTGGGTCTTAGTAAATTCCTGGAACAAAGGAAGGGGCAGAAACAAGATGAGTGATAGTAAGGCTGCTCATTTCTCCAGGAGTCCGGTTTACTGAGCATTTTCCTGTACCCAGAACCAGAGAAAGTGCAACTGCAGGAAAACAGATTTTCTACAAGTCTTTAAACATTTTTCCCTCCTCTTCTTTTATTGGGGCAGGAGACTGAAAAATGCAGAGAATAATATAACAAACACCTAAGTACCCACATTCCAGAATTAACAAATGTTACGATTTTGTAATGATGACTCTAACATTACTGATAAAGTTGTTTTCTTTCCTTTATTTCACAGATGGGCAAAGTGACGAACTGGAGGGGCTAGGACACGGCTGAAGGCTGAGGCGTGCAGCCTCCAGCATCTCTCTTCTTTACGAACTGGAGCCCTACAAGGAGATTCTCAAGCTGGTAAGGCAAGCATTATTGTCCCACTTCATAGCTGAAGAGCTTGGGTCCCCAGTGGATGTGGACGAGGGCCTCCGTGTTCTGAGCCCTGTGCTGGGCTCGGGACAGAACAGAAGACAAAGCCCGAAGCAGCCCAGATCCCTGCTGGAGGGAGGGATACAGAGAGTGCCTGCGTGGATGGGAAGCAATTCCCTGCAGCCAGGGTCAGCTTCACCAGGCTCCTAATCCAGAAGCAAGCCAGCAAATTTTATTTAGGGAGACATTCCATAGAAAAATGTGTACTTCGTAGGGTATATTTGAATCAATGACTCAGTTACGGGTCATTGCCAAAGAAAAACAAAATATCCTGCCACCCTGTGAGATGATGTGATGATTGTTATTTTTACTAGTAGATTACTCCATTTATAAACCTTTGATAAATCCCTTTCCCCAGCCAAATGGCATCTGAACCTGTGGAGAGTTTAAAAAAAAAAAAAAAGTGAAATTGACGAGGGATGCGAGCTGGCCTTCTGTGTGTCCCGGAGCTTCTCAGGCTACAGCTCGGTGCGCGCGTTGCATCGGTTGAGCCCACGCTGGGTTGCATCATATTCTGCAAATCCACGTGCTCTCTGAGGGCGACAGGAGCCGGCTCGGGGTCCACCAGCTGGAATCTCAGAAAGCGCGGTCTCTAAAAATACCAGCTCTGCAGATTCACTTGGGTCCCAGGGGGCTTCTAGATTGACAGCTCCCTTTACGCACCAACCACGGGTTCAAAAAGAAAGGAAAAAAAAAAAAAAATCAGCATGCTTTTTTGAGTTGATTGATTTCTAGCTCCGGAGAGTTTTCGCAGGTCATTTCAGAGTGATGGAAACTCCCCCGAATTATTTTAGGAAAAGTAAAAGACAGCAAAACTTAACTAGCAGCCAGGCTGTGTCCGGGTCTGCGGCTCCGGCGCGCGCCGGCGGACGCCCAGTCTCACCGCGGCCAAGGTCACGGTTAGGCTGCGCCGGCACCTCTGAGCGGTCTGGCACGGACAGACGCGCGCCCGGCGGGTCGGTGGGGCTGCAGCCCGCCCCTCTCCAGCCCAGCCTGGAGGCTGCCTTCCCCCGCGCATCCCCGGAAGGCGAGGGGCAGGCACGGAACTCGAAGTTCCAAAGTGTAAGGGAGAAAAGTGTGTCCAGTGCGCCTGAAATGAAGCACACAGCCCTGGGTGTTCAGGGTCTCCAGCCCGATGTGTGCGAATTGTTCCCGCGAGCAATATACAGGGCTGTGTTTTGGGGGAAAAGTACTTCCTGCTGCTTCCAAAGACAGAAAAGCCACAGGGTTCCTGATATAAGGGCGTTGGCTTTATCAGCTTAGAGCAGGTCCTTCCTGGCCTCAGCCCGGGGCCCTTCCTACCACCTAGGCAGAGACACAGTCAGACAGAAACAGCTCAAGCGCTGACACACACCGAGAGTGGTGTTCAACCCTCAAAAAACTGTTAGGAACAGATTGCAGAGTCGAGGTGCATTCTGCCTTCCTCTCTTCCCTTTGCACTGGGCACTGTGCCGCCTTGAAGTCACCTCAATCCAAGGACAAGCAAACCTAAAGAGGGCAGTCTGGGGCCTCCAAGAAAACACCAGAAAGATTGTTGTTAAACTAGATCTACTCCAGATTGCTTGACGTGAGAAGCTCACTGCTGCTGGAGGTGGCCTTGTGTGACCCTGGAAAGCTGGCTTTACCATGGCCCTGTGAAGAGGCAATTGGGCAGGGAAGACGTTAAGACAGTTCCTTGAATGGATTCCTTGAGTGGGGTTTGAAAAGATTTGGTTAAGGATCTCCGCATCATTTCTAAAAACCCGCCAGCCAAATGTGAGAATTCCAGTTGCTCCCTGCCCTCATTAGTGCTTACTACAGTCAGACTTTCTGTTGTAATCATTCTAATACATGCGTAGTGAGAGCTCTTTGTGATTTTAATTTGCATCTCTCTAATAATAATGAGCATCTTTTCATATACTTGTTTGTCATTCATATATGTTCTTTGGTGATATGTCTGTTTAAATATTTTGCATACACACACACACACACACACACACATATATATATATGTAGAGAGAGAGAGAGAGAGAGAGAGAATTTTCAGTAAATACAAGCTGTTATTTAAAAGATCTTAATCTGGGTTTCTCTGATAGTGGTGATTAATATAGTAGAAGTGTGGTTGAAACAACGCCATAGTGAGCCTGACCTTGACTCACATAAGACTTCTAATCCATGTTTTTAGGAAAAAGAAGTTGAATTCATATTTGCATTAAGGAAGAACATTACCCAGTTTATTAAAAAAAAGAAAAGACTTTCGCCCATTTTTAAAAAATTGGGTTGTTTTCTTATTATTGAGTCTTGGCAGTTCTTTATATATTATGAATATAAGCCCCTTATTAGACATGATTTGCAAATGTTTTCTTCCGGACTATAACTTGTCTTTTCATTTTCTTAACAATGACTTTTTGTTTTTAATTTGTGTGTGTGTGTGTGTGTGTTTTTAATTTTAAAGAATTCCAATTGATCATTTTTTTCTCTTATGGATTATGCTTTTGGCTTTGTATCTAAGAAATTTTTGCCTAACCCAGGGTCATGAAGATTTTCTTCTAGAAGCTATAGCTATTTCAATCTATGATGATCCATTTTGAGTTAATTTTTGTAAATGGTATGAGGTACAGATCAAAGTTCACATTTTTGGCCTTTGGATATCCCAGTGTGCCCTCAACATTTCTTGAAAAAATTATCATATCTCCACTGCATTGCTTCGCACCTTTGTTAAAAAATCAGTTGTCCATAAATGAGTCTAATTTTAGACTCTTGATTCTGAAGTTCCATTGGTGTTTGTGCTTGTCTTTGCTCCACTGTCCTGATTATTGTAACTTTATAATAAGTCTTGAAATCAAGTGATGTAAGTTCTTCAACTTTGCTTTTTTTTGCAAAGTTGTTTTGATTATTCTAAGTCCTCTGCATTTCCATATGAGTTTCAGAATCAGCTTGTCCATTTCTACAGAAAATCTGCTGAGATTTTGATCAGTATTACATTGAATCTACAGATCAATTTGGTGAGAATTTACACCTTAAAAATATTGAGTCTTCTCACAGATATAGAGAACAAGCTAGTGGTTACTAGTGGGGAGAGGGAAGTGGGGAGGAGTAATATAGGGGTAGGGGGAAAAAGGGTTATTATGGGATTATATGAAATCATGTGTGTGAAACTTTTGAAAATTGTAAAGCACTATAGAATTTAAAGACTCATTCAATTAAAAAAATCTTTTTAAAAATATTGAGTCTTCTAACCCATGAACTCAGTATCTCTCTGTTTATTTAGGTTCTCTTTAATTTCTCTCAGCAATGTTTTGTAATTTTCAGTGTATAGATATTGTCCATCTTCTGTCAGACTTACCCTAGATATTTTATACTTTTTGATACTATTGTAAGTGATATTTTAAAATATTCAATTTCCAATTGTTCATTGAAAGTATACAGAAATACCATTGACTTTTGTACATTAATCTCGTACTGTATATCTTTACTAAAGTCACTTTTTACATTCCAGTAACTTTTTGTTTCTATAGGATTTTCTACGTAGATTCTCATGTCATCTGCAAATGAGGACGGCTTTACTTCTCTAGTTCCAATCTGGCTCGCTTTTATTTCTGTTTCTTGCCATATTGCTCTGGATTGAATCTTCAGTACAATGTGGAATAGAATCTGTGAGAGTTTCTGATCTTAGGAGGAAAATATTCAGTCTTTCACCATCAATAATGATGTTAGCTGTTAGTTTTTAGTAGATGCCCCTTATCAGATAGAGAAAGTTCCCATCTAGTCTTAGTTTGCCATGAGTTTTTACCAGGAATATCTGTTGGATTATATCAAATGATATTTTTGCATCTGTTGAGACCATAGTTTACTAGCGTCATCATTTAGCAAGTTTGAGTCAACTATAGAACATTTATGTCTTTTTATGTCCCTTTCCCCTCCCTGTTTATAATATAATTGTCTTAAATATTTCTTCCATATACATTTTGAATCACATTAGCAGTGTTACAGTTTTTGCCTCAACCGTCAACATAATTTAGAAAAATTAAGAGGAAAAGGAAAGCCCATTGTATTTACCAGTATTACCAATATGTTTGCTTATTGTGTTGTTTCTTCCTTACTGACATTCCAGAAGTCTTTCTTTTATTGTTTCTTTTCTGTTTAGGAAACTTCTTTTAGCCATTCTTATGTGGTATTGATATATCTGCTAGTGGTATATAGTTTTTCTTTTTTTTGAAAATGTCTTAATTTCCCTTTCATTCCTGAAGGATCCTTCATTGGAAAGGACCTTTCAACCGAATATACAGTTCTGTGTTGGCAGTTCTTTTCCTTCAGCACATGAGAGTACTCTTGCCTCCATGGTTTCTAATGAAAATGTGCTGTTATTCAAATTTTTTTCCCCACAGGTAGTGTCATTTCTCTGTGTTTTCAATATATATATTTTTCTCTTTGTTTTTCTGAAGTTTGACTATGATGTGCCTCGATATGGATTACTTTGGGTTTATTCTGTTTGAAGTTTGCTCAGCTTCTTAAATCTGTGTGTTTTGTTTGTGCTTTTGTTTTTGGCAAAACTTGGGATGTTTTAAGCCCTTATTTAATTGAGTACTTTTTCAGTTTCGCCCTCTTTTCCTTTCTTACCAGAACATGGATATCACAGAAGTTAGATCTTTTGCTATAACCAGACAGGTCCCTGAGGCTCTGTGCCTTTTTTTTTTTTTAATCCCCCAGCCTATTTTCTTCTCTCTGTTGTTCAGATTGGATATTTAATGCTGTCCTATCTTCCAGGTCACTGTGTTCCTCTATTTTGCTGTTGAGTGCCTCCATTCAGGTGGGTGTTTTGGTCGTTGCTGTTGTTATTACTGTATTTTTCTGTGATAAATATTCCATTTAGTTCTTTATATTTTATCTCTCTTCCTATTTTTTAATTTGTTTCAAGAGTATTTGTCATTGCTCTTTGAAGCATTTTA